GCAAGACTGTGTCGCTGCTGGAGGCAGGAAGAGGTGGGAGTGTTGACTGCCGACGGGAAGACCCTGAAGTGCCGTGGATACGGTAAAATTAAGTTGGGCGTCGAGCATATTCAGCCCGTGACTGTTGAGGTTCTGGTCGTGGAAGGGCAGTTGCTAGGATTCGATCTTCTTCTCAGGATTGATGCAATCAAAGTGCTCGGAGGTGTTTACTTGACCGAATCAGGCGAAGCTCGTTTCGGAAACCTGATCACATGTGCCGCCATTGTTATCAACAAGCCTGACTTTAGAGTGACGTTTAACCCGAGCACAAAAACGTGGACTGCATTGTGGAAGTGGGCGAGTGGTTATTCACCTAGCAAGTTGGTCAATAAAGTACAGGAGTACACAGTACCTGGCCACGTCCGGGATGTATACGATGAAGAACTAGCACGGTGGCAGCGAGACGGATGGCTACTGCCATATCCTGAGAAAGAGCTTGGCCCACCCAAGGGATTAATTTCCCTTAATGGCGGTCGTACAAGAACACAAACAGAAGGTCCGACCGGTACTTGACTATCGGGAGTTGAACGGCTTTGTAGACGCATTCACGGCTGACGCAGAGGTGTGTGCGCAGAAATTACGAGAATGGCGACGACAAGGAGCTGACGTATCGCTGTTGGATTTGAGAAATGCGTACCTACAGATTCACATTGACAAATCGCTATGGCCGTTTCAAACAGTGGTCATTAAGGGCAAGCGGTTTTGCCTTACGCGTTTGGGTTTTGGCCTGAATGTGGCACCACTTGTCATGAAGTCAGTGATCGACATGATAACGTCCCAGGATCAGGACATTAAGAGTGCCACGTCGGCATACGTCGACGATATCTTCATAAATGAAGGCCTAGTTTCTGCAGCGCGCGTAAGACAGCACTTTGCAGATTACGGGCTAGTCTGTAAAGATCCGGAGCGATTGAGAGACGGAACTAAGGTCCTGGGTCTGCAAGTCTGGGAAGAAAGCAACTCCCTTCGATGGAAGCGGGAGGTCAGGTTCAGAAATTGCTCAAAAGTTGACCCGCCGAAGCGTATTTTCCTTGTGCGGGAAACTTGTGGGTCATTTCCCTGTGTGCGGTTGGCTTAGGGTGGCAACTGCATTTATTAAGCGTTCTGCAAGTACACTAACCAAAGGATGGGACGACGAGATAAAGGATGCCCCTCTTGGACGTATGCTGGAGGAAACAGTGGCCAGAGTGCGGGAATCAGATCCTGTCGGCGGAGACTGGTGTGTGAACGGCAATGAAATGACAGTTTGGGTGGATGCAAGCTCCGTGGCCACGGGAGTAGCACTAGAGGTGAATGGGAGCGTCGTGGAAGATGCTTGCTGGTTGCGTCAACCAATGATGCCAAACACATTAATCTTGCTGAGCTTGATGCGGTAATCAAGGGCGTGAATCTTGCCCTGCAGTGGCAGGCACCAGTTATGCATGTGGTCACCGATTCAGCATGTGTGCATCGGTGGGTGTCTGACACCCTGACAGGAAGGACGCGCGTGAACACGAAGGCAGCGGGTGAAATGCTGATGAGGCGGCGCTTAGAGACACTGCGAGCTTTGGTGGAGGAGTACGCACTGACTATGACTGTGACGTTGGTGAAGTCTTGTCAGAACCGCGCTGACAGCCTCACCAGAGTGCCGCAACGCTGGTTGGAGATGCACAAGAAAGGAGGAGAACCGGCGCAAGTGAGTTGTGTCACTGCAACGAGCCAGTTGAGCAAACGTCAGGTGACCCACATCCACCAGCAGAGTGGGCACCCAGGTGTTAAAAGAACAATGTACTTTGCTAGGACTGTAGATCCAACGGTGTCTAAAGAACTGGTGAAATCTGTCGTTAGAACCTGTGAAGCCTGCCAATCGATCGATCCAGCACCAGTGCATTGGAAGAAAGGAAATTTGAGTGTGAGAAAAAACTGGAGCAGGTTAGCAATGGACGTAACCCATTGCAATGGTAGCCATTTTCTTACGCTCATTGACTGTGGTCCCTCCCGTTTTGCAGTATGGCGGCCACTGAGACGGCAAGACTCTGCTGGTGTCATTCGTCAGCTAGAGACAGTCTTCTACGAACGAGGCCCGCCGACCGAAATACTGACTGACAATGACACCACGTTCACTTGCAGACAATTTAGGGAATTTGTGAACAGCTGGGGCGTGCATTTGAGGTTCCGGTGCGCTTACGTGCCGTCTGGAAATGGCATTGTGGAACGCAACCACAGAAGCGTCAAAACCATAGCGGCCAGAAAAAATTGTTCAGTCTTGGAAGCGGTTTACTGGCATAACGTCACACCTAAGGACAACCTTTCACCTTCCACGGCACCGGCTGATGTACTGCACACATACCACGTCCGGGTGAGAGGCATCGACGCGACGCCCCGCCTGAATCACAAATAACCGAAGGGAATACAAGGAAGGGGACATTGTCTGGGTTAAGACTCCACGTGGTAAATGCACGACCAAATTTGGAACCGGACGTGTGACCGAGGTGGTGAGTCAGCAGTCAGTGCGGGTCGATGGAACACCTCGTCATGTTAGAGACCTGCGCCATTTTTGGGCTCAAATCCCACAACTGACGAAGAAGACACGGAGGATAGTGAACAGCCAATATACATAGAGTTGGATTCAACAACCAATCACTCCGATAGTGGTAGTTTGCCAATAGATCGGGACGTGTCTAATGAGAGCTCCTCTGATGAAGAAGTTCAACCAATCCCCCTTCGGAGGAGCACCCGGAACAAAAGACCGTATCCTCACTGTCATCTGTGTGATCAGGAGATCAGGGGGGAGTGTGGCGGACATGAGACAGAACCTGGGACGAGCACAACTAGTCGCGACTTGCCTTGTCAAAAAAGGGCCCGTATTTGCTTAGCATGTAAAGCTACTGCAGTTGAAATGAGGGAGAGAAAAAAAAGCACTTACCGCTCTGCCGTAATCCATCCTCGGCCAGATAACATAAAAGAATGAGGGGGGACTGGCATCGCATTTTTATCCAATAAGGACGCAATGCATTATGGGACATGGACGCAATGAATTATGGGATCACAGGAAGATGCAAGGGATTATGGGTACATGAACAACTATAAAAACAACTACTTTTTTCCAAGTCGGCGAGTTCTTCGAGGGACGTTCACGGTTGACGGCTAGAACGGGCAGTTAGTGTGATTTGGAGACAGAACTCAAGAAGGAACGACTCAAGTTTGAAATACCAGCTGAGTGAGCTTGAATTTACTCGCTGGTTACTGTTTTCTTCATTCGCCTCAGATTTCAAGGTCCTTGTATTGTGATAACTTTTTGAAGATCTTCAAAGATACATTGCAATCTGCAGCTACTGCTATACCAATAAGGAGACATTTTTTTTCGGTCTCTAATAAAGATGTCTAGGCAATTAGCTTATTATTATTTTTATTTCCTTTGATTTCTGGCGTTTACACATTTCTTTCCGGGTCCCGCCCAGAGACCTAAGGTTAGAAATGGCATCATGACACTTTCCACTGACAAAAAAATTACATAGATAAAGCCCTTCATTATTATTATTATTATTATTATTATTATTATTATTATTTCTTCCTTTGATTTCTGTTGTATATATATTTCCTTCAAATTACACTTGAAGACAAGCAGACTGCGTCTCGTTGCAACATTTTTTCTGTCGTATCTAGCAATGGTATAACAAATATAATATCTGCATTCTTTCAATTTTTTTTCTATTCTGTCGCAAAGGAATTGTGGATTTAACAGTAACCACACAAACAAAACAAAAAATAAAAAATGTAGAAATAAACAAAACATAGAAATAAAAAAATAAACAAAATCAATAGATAAAATGTAAATATAAACAAAACCTGAATAGAAAAACAAAATACACAAAATATGAAACCAAATAAAAACATGGAAATAAAAAAACATAACAATAAGTAAAACATAGAAATAAAAAAAAACATGAAAAATAAAACACATGAAAAAATATAAAATAAACATTAACCATAGTTAACTAAAATTAATTAGCTTTTTGCGTTTCTAACTTAATTGTTTTTGTTACATCTTTAATAATTTTGATAGATTATTTCTGTAGTCGCATACTCTTGTTGAAAACGATGTTCAATATCCTAATGCAAAGACGCCAAATATTAAATAACTAATACATCAAAAAACAATACTCAGAAAACGAGAGATTACAAAGAAAAAAATATATCAGCGAAATATTTTTAAGACTGTATATTTTTTTAAGATCAAAGTATATGAATCGAAGCAAATCGGATAAGTAAAGGTGATCGTCGTTATTAATCGCCATATCAAAGCGGGAAATCGACTGAGCCGTGTTTTATCAGTTCACCTTTCTGATCGATTCAACTTTGTCTACGAAATCGGCCAATGTTCTTAAAACTTCTTTACGCTTGCAGTAATGAAACATTTACGCGATTGTCAATTTGCTTTTACTCATTGATTGGTCATCAGGAATTTTGTTCAATTTGTCCGCTGTAATCTGTAACTAGAATTTATTCGATTATTAATTGAACACTTCTATTTGCAATGCGGTTTAACAAACGAATGGATAACTTGATTTACACGGGGAAAGATATTCGGGTAATCCATAACCTCTACTAGGAAAACACACAGCCTAGAAGTGGATAGAAAACAGGAAATGTACAAAAACAAGAACTATAAGAGATAGATATGTTTTCTCGGTGGATTTATTTTAGCAACGCAATAAGACGAACGTAAGACAACTAGAAGTCCTCACAAGATTTAATATCAAAGGGTTAAATCTTTAAAATGTAAGATACGCGTTGTTTAGTTGTTCTTATTTAGCGGTATATCAACACCTCTATGGGTTATTAAATGCCGAAATCTAAATATATTTTACACATTTTTTTTTTAAATTATAATGATTTTGGGGATACAAATTTTAGCTGGAGTGAGAAAAGGTAGATTCCTAGCTTTGCCGAGGTTAATTTGTGGGTAATCCAAGATTTCA